ATTTTCTTTCGTTTCGTGATCAAACTTCAAACCTCGTGAGTGATTGCAAGTAGTGGATGCTCCTCCACTCTAAATAAACCGTTGAATTGTTATTTTTCTTGAACAGGCTGTACCAATAAGAGTTGATTTTGTTTTCTTTGTAAAGGCCGCATCAATAAGTCCTTTGAGATCAGTTTTGTTTTTCTTGGACAGGCCATATCAATAAGCCCTGTCGAATCACCCTTTCGTATTGAGTTTCTTTTTGGACAGGCTGTATCAATAAGTCCTGTCATATTCTTATCAATTGGTATTAAAATAAAATAAAAACTTTATTATAACGAATCGACTCTTATTACAAGAGTATTCTATCCTATTTATTCTTCAAATACCCGCTTATCTTTTTGAAAAGGCCGATTTGTGAACAAATCGTCACAGGAAACCTCTAGAAAAACCGGAGAGACCCTCCAACCGTAAATAATTCAGTTTAACTCCCACCCCGTTGCAGAAAGTTCCTTGAATCGATTGATTATTGCAATAACTGCATTAATCTGGTGCCCCAAACCATCGCAAAAATAAGCCCTTTCGGTAAATATTAGAAGGAACGCAACAGTACAACTACAACTATTCCAACGAAAAGAGAAAAAATCGACATGCAATGAAAAACAAAAATAAAGACCAGTTTTGTCATCACCATCGTCGTCGTTATTGCTCTTGTTGTAATTTCAGTTCGAGAATCAATTCCTATCTTTGCTCTAATGACTTATTGAGATATTCGAAATGTTTGATTCTTTATAAAACAAATTCAACGTTAAACATAAATATTCTAATTGTAAAATAAGATATAAAAATTGTATACAGTATAATTAAGCAGATAAATAACAATCTTTTTTGGACAATATGCTATTTGAATATCTAAATAATCAAAGAAACAAAGGGATAAACGTTTTATTTGCTGTCAAATTGCATTTTGGGCGTGTAAAATAAAAAATACGATATTTTTAAGATATAATATCGATAATCAAAAATACTCGTAACTAAATCTGAAAATTATCGAGATTCGTGAATAGCATAATAGATTAACGAATAAAATAAATACAAAGTAAAATCACAAAGTATATCTTTAAAGATCGTAAACTTTTCTCGTTTCGAAAATTAAAGTCAGAGTTGCAACATACATGTATATCAATCGATTTTAATTCACTTCTTATGGCCACAAATTCGATATTGCTTCATATAAGTAGTAGTTTTTTCCGCCTCAATAGTCATTGTTTCTACAAGAGCGTCAAAATGTTCGGGCATTATATTCATATTGGCTGCTAAAAGGGTTCTGACAGAGCTGAAAGCACTAGTAGTAAATCTTAGAGTCTTTGTGTGCAGACAAGTAGAAATAATATTTATTTAGATAAAGTATTGAATTTTGTGAATAAATTCGTTAGTTTCATATTTACCTCTTCTCCAGATTTACCACCTTTCTTGCCTAAAACTATATCTTTTTTTTTATATTTAATTTCAGAAAACGCGTTTGTGTCTTCAAGAAGGCGCGGAATCTCTTCCCCGATTATATTGTTCATTCCCTTCGACGTCAGGAAATTTTGGACTAAATAATCTCTGTTATTTTAATTAACGATACAAAGACACCAAAATAGCTTTCCTTACCTGCTTCTGAAATTCTCTTTGTAGCGTTTCCATTAGATATAAAATCACCACTACCTTCTACCATCTCAACCCATCCATCTGGTCGAGTTAACCTTGTTATTTCTGGGATAACTTTCTCTTCCCATTGAG